CCAGAAGGTATGGGGGACTGGGAGGGTGCTGGGAGGGTATTTAAGGATGCCAGTAGGCCAATGGGGTGGTTGAGTGGCCCTACAGCTGCCCCAGGTGTGGGAAAGCCTCTGGTCACAGCTACAACCTCTTACCGCACCAGCGGACGCGTGCCGGCAAACGTTCTTACCAGTGTGAGGACTGCGGGAAGACGTTCGGGTGGAGCTCCCACCTGAGCTCCCACCTGGGTCACCGAGCACCAGCTGATGCACACCGGCGAGAAGCCCTACACCTGCTCCCAGTGCGGGAAGAGCTTTGGGCAGAGCTACAACCTCATCCAGCATGAGCTGACCCACATCAGTGAGCAGCCCTACCAGTGCAGGGAGTGTGGCAAGAGCTTCAGTCAGGGATTTACCCTCATCCAGCACCAGAAAACCCACACCAGCGAGCGGCCCTACCAGTGCAGGGAGTGCGGGAAGGGCTTCAGGCAGAGATTTACCCTCATCCAGCACCAGCTGACCCACACTAGAGAGCAGCCCTACACCTGCGACCAGTGCGGGAAGAGCTTTGGCCAGAGCTCTGCCTTGACCAAGCACTTCCAGACCCACACTGGAAAGCGGCCCTACGCCTGTCCCGAGTGTGGGAAGGCCTTCGCACGGACCTCTGTCTTCCTCAGGCATCTCCAGGCCCACACCGGGGAGAAGCCCTACATTTGCCATCTGTGCCCATGCCTTCAACTGCAGCTCCACCTTGGCCAACCACAAACGCACCCACAACGAGGATAAGACCTGTGGGTGTGAGCTCTGTGGCCAGTGCTTTCACTACAAGAGCCTGTTTGACTGCCACATGAAGACCACCACAAGGAGGACCTGGCGTGTGGCCCCTAGGGTGCTTGTAGAGGGACAAGGGATGCTCACCAGGATGGGATGGGCACCAGCATCTCCGTGGTGGGGTCCATTGTGGTGGCGTCCCTGTTAGGAGCAGACGGAGGATCCTGGTAGCACGTGTGGTGTCCACCATGGGTCCTGGTGCCATGTGGAGCCTGGACTTAGGACACTTTGGGACTTGGTTGCAGAGGACAGGGTATTGGCATCTCTGTGCCGTGGTCCATCATGGTGGCAGCCTCGTTAGGGCCCAACGAACCCACGTAGGATAGCGAGAAATAAAACCATGTTTTGAAAATACCGTAAAACACCCCACCTCTTCCTTGGTCAACTTTGCTCCAGTGTTGAGTCCCTCAGGAAACGACTGGTCCAGCATGGGTGTACTGGTGGAAAACAGACTAATCTTCATCCTACTTTAGAAGAATCAGTTAGCAGCAGTGCCCAGGTGGCCAAGGAGGCCAGCGCCATCCTGGGCTGTCCCAGCACTGGTGTGGGCAGCAGGAGCAGGGCAGGGATCCTTCCCCTGTGCTGGGCACTGCTGAGGCTGCCCCTCGAGTTTTGGGTCCCTGACTCCCAGAAGGACATTGAGGGGCTGGAGCGTGGGCAGAGAAGGGTAATGGAGCTGGGGAGGGGTCTGGAGCAGGCGAATGATGGGGAGCGGCTGGGGGGGCTGGGGGGGTGCACTGGAGAAGAGGAGGCGAGGGGAGACCTTATCTAAAAGTTCTAAACTTTACTGTCTGTGAACTTTTACAGACTAAATTTGGAAAATCTCTTGGGGCTAAATTAAGGTGAGCCGACACCAAATGCTCAAATAAACATTTTAATGTGAACAATTTGGATTTGGAGAAGGTAAAGTTGGTTGGTAGCGCAGACTCTGAGCAGGTGCCCTTTTTTAAGAAACGAACCACAGGAAAAAAATAAGGAAAGGTATCACCACTCTCAGATCCCACGAGGATTCCTCGGCATCGGTGACCACAGGGCAGTCCTCCGGCAGTGGGCGTGCGCACGCGGCCACCCGAGTCTGTGCCTTTCCTATGGTCCAGGCCATCGAGGACTCGCGTAACTCTCGGGCTGCTGTGCAGGCGCCGTTGCGTGTGTGCGCTGGGGGGGTGGTCGTGAGACCCTTCCGCACATTAACTTGCCCGGCACCACAGACCTGCGCATCCCGACTCCTGGGACAGGCAGGAGCGTCTGCTTCCAGCGCTGCTTTACTGGTCATTGCAGAGCAGAACTGGCAGCTTTTCTTCTGCTGGACCTGTCCTGAGACGTTCGCTCCTGCAGTCTCTCACAGTAGGCCTTCAGGAGAACTGGTGCTTGCCACAGCCATGGGGCTTCTCCCCGGTGTGGGTCCGGAGATGCTTGACCAGGTTGGGGTGCATCCAAAGCTCTTCCCGCCCTCGGGGAGGTGTAAGGGTTCTCAGTGCTGTGGCTGGGGCGGTGGTGGGGCAAGGTCGAGCTTGGGCTGACGGCGTGGGGGCAGGCGTAGGGCTTCTCGCCCGTGTGGCTCTGCTGGTGCTGGGTGAGGTGGGAGCTCTGCCTGCAGCTCTCCTGCACTCGGGCAGACATCGGGCTTCTTGCGGGTGTGGGTCAACCTGTGCCTGGCCAAGTTGCTCCTGGGTCTGAAGCTCTCGTCTCACTGGTCGCAGGCGTAGGGCTGCTCGCCCGTGTGGGTCCGCTGGTGCTTGATCAGGCTGTAGCTCTGTCCGAAGCACTTCCCGCACTCCCCACACCGGTATGGTCGCTCGCCGGTGTGGCTCTGCTTGTGCCGGATGAAATTGGAGCTCCACCTGAAGCTCTTCCCACACTCAGGGCACTTGTGGGGCTTCTCACTGGTGTGGCTCAGCTGGTGCCTGGTCAGGTAGGAGCGGAGAGCAAAGGTTTTGCCGCAGAGTGTGCAGAAGTGCCGCTCACACACCCCGTGGATGCGCCGGTGCTCAGCAAGGTTGGAGCTCTGGCTGAAGATCTTGCCGCACTCGGGGCAGACGTAGGACTTCTCGTCGGTGTGGATCCGGAGGTGCTTGGCCAAGCTGGAGCTGAGTGTGAAGCTCTTCCCGCACTGGTTGCAGGTGTAGAGTCGCTCTCTGGTGTGGGTCTGCTGGTGCTGGATGAGGTTGGAGCTCCACCTGAAGGTCTTCCCACACTCGGGGCAGGTGTGGGGCTTCTCGCTGCCATGGGACAGAAGGTGATTGGTCAAGGCAGAACTGAGTGCAAAGCTCTTCTTGCACTGGTCGCAGGTGTAGGGCCGCTCGCCAGAGTGGGTCCGCTGGTGCAGGATGAGGGTGGAGCTCTTCCTGAAGTTCTTCCCGCACTCGGGGCAGCGGAAGGGCCACTCACGGGTGTGGGTCCGCTGGTGCCGGATCAGGCTGTTGCTGTGCCTGAAGGTCTTCCCGCACTCCCCACACCAGTATGGCTGCTCGCCAGTGTGGATCCGCTGGTGACTGATGAGGCTGGAGCTGTGCCCAAAGCTCTTCCCACACTCCCCACACTTGTAGGGCCGCTCACTGGTGTGTGTGCACTGGTGCAGGATGAGGTCGGAGCTCTGCCCGAAGGCCTGCCCACACTTGGGGCACTTGTAGGGCCTCTCATCGCTGTGAGTCCGGACGTGCTCAGCCAAAGCAGAGCTGAGCGTGAAGCTCTTCTCACACTGGTCACAGGCGTAGGGTTGCTGGCGGGAGTGGATCTGCTGATGCCTGACCAGGCTGTTGCTGTGCTTGAAGCTCTTCCCACACTCCCCACATCGGTACGGCCGCTCGCTGGTGTGGGTCCGCTGGTGCTTGATCAGGTTGGAGCTGTGCCCAAAGCTCTTCCCGCACTCCATGCACTGGAAGGGCCGCTCACGGGTGTGGGTCTGTCGGTGTTGGATCAAGCTGTTGCTGTGTCCGAAGGTCTTCCCGCACTCCTCACACTGGAACGGCCGCTCGCCGGTGTGGATCCGCTGGTGCTTGACGAGGCTGGAGTTCCGCCCAAAGCCCTTCCCGCACTCCCCACACTCGTATGGACGCTCGCCGCTGTGGACCAGCTGGTGCTTGATCAGGCTGGAGACTTGTCCAAAGGCCTTCCAGCACTCCCTACACTTGTAGGGTCGCTCACCAGTGTGGGTCCGCTGGTGCTGGAGGAGGTGGGAGCTCCGTCTGAAGGCCCTCCCACATTCCCCACAGCGGTAGGGTCGCTCACCGGTGTGGGTCTGCTGGTGCCGGATGAGATCGGAGTTTTTCCTGAAGGTCCTGCTGCAGTCAGGGCACTTGTAGGGCTTCTCCTCG